TGCAATCTTTGGGGGCCACTATTTAGCCTAGCAGAGAAAGCAGTGCTGACCATCAATGACTGTCAGCTACCCCCACGGGCTAACTTTCCTCATCTTTCACCTTAAGAATTACAACTGGAGGAAGCCACCTGGTTCATTCAAAGAATGTTTAAAGTATCTTGAGCATAAGTTTATCTGTATGTGGAACAGATGACATCAAAGTAGAAGAGAGATTAAGGAAGAGGAGGGGTAAGGAGAGTACCTCGAGTGGTTCAGAGAGCACAGTGACCTCTGTTCTGCACCTCAGACAATTTTAGCCACACTGCTGAGGAGAGAATCAAGGGGGGAAACCCCAGATGGGGAGCCCTGGCAGGTAGGAGAGGGAGAGAAGCAGAGATCTCAGGGGTGCAGCCTGAACTTGAAAAGTACCTGGGCCTCTTCCAGCATCAGGAAGGAATAAGGAGGGAGAGCTTGGTGCTATATGGGTATTGGATATGACCCAAGTATATCACAGGAGACGCATGCATGCAAATTCCACATCAAAACCCAGTATTTTATAAAATTAATAGACACCAACAAAAATGTATTTCAAAAAGAATGTAAGCTTATTGGATCAAGAACCACATACATTAAAGAGTGAGACAGGAGGGCATTTTCTTTATACAAGACTATTGGGCACATTTTTCATTTTATTACCCTAAATATGAGTCAGGAATGTTGACAAAACATAAAAACGATCACTTCATAGTCATTCTAAAAAAGAGAAAAAGAAAACCATGTCACACCAGCGTGAGGGCCAGAAGGCCCTTACCTCAACCCTGATGGTTGTGCTATTAACAATCACAGCATTAATGAACTGCATGCCTTCCCTTTTAATAGAAGAGTGAATTTTGAAAGCAGCATCTCTTTCATCACATTTCCGGGATTCTCTGTAACACTATTAAGCAATTACAGTATGTCAGACTATGCCAGCCACTGGGTAGCAGTTCCCTCATTCTCTCCTCCCCCAGGCTTGTGACTCCCACTGTGCAGATGAGGACAGGAAGGCTGAGAGAGGTCAACCCAGGAGGAAGTGAAGCTCAACAGACCCCACGCCTGCCTCCCTCCAAAGCCTGGTGCTTCCACAAGATGATCGCTGGGCCACCTTCTCATTCCATTTTAAACTCAGTTAATCTTTAGCTTGTTTAAATTAAATAACATGTTTCTATAGCCAAGCACAAGGGCTCTGAAACGTCTAGTTTGACAAAAGCTCTGGTATGTGAGAGACGAATGTGATTGAGTTCTGGTCCCTTTTATAGAACAGCTAAATTTCATTTACCCAAGCACACAGGGTCAGATAATTGTATGCCAGAAAATATTCCCAGATCTTATTACTGATAGTAAGTCTGGGCTTCTACTCCGTCAAAATTATCAACCAGGCAGGATGATTTAGTTTTAACTCTCTCCACCATCAATAACTCAAATGGAGAAGCTCTAAGGGTCAAAGCTGCTAGAGACAGAATAACAAAAAGAAAATGTGGCTAACCAGCAGAACTATCCCCATGTTCATAAACAGCCACGACCTTGCAACTGGGCTA